ATATACATGCTGATAATTATCGTTGCTACCACCAGACTTCTCTGATGAGATTTCTTTTTATTTTTGCTTCTGGTACTTTCCTCTGAAATTTCTCATTAATTAAAATGAGCATCTTGTGCAATTTGAACCTTTGTAAAAACCCAAAGCCCACAAGCTCCTTCTCCCCTTGAAGGGAGCCGGTGACTCACTCCTGAGCCGACTGCCAGACGGTCTTGGCGGAGCGCTGCGCTGGCCAGCTCTCCTGCCTGCTCAGTGCCTGCTGAACACGCGGAAAGTTTCCTTTATAAAGCAGACAACTGGGAATTATTTTCTTTGGGTACCTTTAAAAAAATGTTGGACATTCCCCTAGAGCCCTGTTTTAACCACCTACTTTTTTTTGCCACATGCAAGAACTGCCTTTTGGCTTTCTGGGGGTCGCTGAAGTCTGTAGGCGCACCACCACTTGTGTTCCCGCCACCTGCTTCAGTGGGCTTTCTGAGTGCCTTTAGGATTGTTACCATGACGGTTTGTCCCGGGCCTCATGAACCTGCAGCTATAGTGCAGGAAGAATTTGTCATCTGAGGATTCACAAGGGAGAACTTTCCATTTAAAAAGATATCGTGAGTACCTGCATGATTCAGAGACAATGCACTTTCTGCTCTACTTAAAAGAAGGGAACTGTCCTTGAATGCGCGTATGAAATGGCTCTCTTCACAGAACCAAAGGTCCACACTGGCACACTTGTGTAGACAGATAAAGAAGACTCTATCTGTTCATGTTCAAAAGCCACTTCTGCAAGAACCTACACTTTTAATTGCTGCTTATAAAATATTGTTTTCCAAACTCTATTTGAATTGCAGCTCCCACATAACAAAATTGTTCAGCAGATTTGTTATCAATCAGTAAACCTCCAAAAGATATTTAAGATAATAAAATCAATGGACTCAGACTTTATTATTAAAGCTGATAATCCTCAATTTTATCTCACAATTGTCACTGGTCTATCAGGTCTGATAAAGTATGATTTTCTTAATGATGATAAATTAATTCCAGTTTAAATTTAATATTATGTATTTTGACATTATATTGGTGCCAATATTGTTTCTGTACTGGTTTTTCTATACTATGTACTTTTGTTTACTGGTCTTACTAAAATAAATAGAATGCCTCCAATAATCCCAGGTCATCAAAAGTACCTTAGCACAGGGCTGAGTGTCCAAAAAGGGCCTTATTGTATTGTGTGCTTGACTCGGGCTCTGTTCTATAAGATAAAACTAACAGAAGAATTAGAAAGACTACTGAAAATGAGCTGCTGGTGACTCCAATCAAATTCAGAATATGACCAAGAGAAGGAGAAGAACACTCATGTATTTTCAAAGTGATTTCACATCAGTTATCCCATATAATCACCAAGTACATTGCACTTATCACATCTGTAAATTTTCCAACTGCCAGTGCCACACACATTTCACAAACACTGCATCTCAACTTGGTCCACGCACATAGCCCTACACTTTTTCTTTTTCCTTCTTCTCCCCTGCCTGATTCTCTGTAGCCCTCCTCACCCTGTGCCAGCTCTCTGGTCTCTCAGGAGTGAGCACTTCTCTTGTCCTAGAATCAGGTTCAAATTAAACCCTTTGATGCTTCTTCTTTCCCCTTTCTTTTGAGCCCAATCACATAAACTCTTTCTTTGGAGGGAAAATAAACAGAGCTGACCCACACTCTTTTTCCCCCTAATCCCCAAGTACTGAAAACTCTCTCCACTCTGAAGCAGGGACTACCTTTTAGAATTATATCCCCTCTTGTCTAGACTGGTTTGATCCAGAGCTACCCTGCAAACTGTGTGCATTCAAGTCAGGGAGCCCAAGAAGTAACAGAGGGCACAGTCACACAGGAAGCTCCGAGTAAGGACTCCCGACTTCCGAGGTCAGGCATTCATCCTCCCTCCTTCCCAGCCAGAAGATGGGCTAACGGTGCTTAGCTCATACAGTGGTTCCCAGGATTCATCCGAAACCAAAACACGAAACATAAAGACAGGTGTTCCACGTTGTGGTAGCTATTTTTTCAAGATTTAAAGTTAATTCAATATTAGGAAACTTCAATTGGGATTTGACACAATTATTCTTAAGTCCATTTAGATAATATACAAGTGAGAGGAGCCTCCTATAGGAAGAGAAATAAATAGGGGCTTGATGTATTTTATGATGTCTTTTGTGGTTGTTGAAAAACATGCCCTGCTGGCCAGAATGTGTGAAACTGGCTTCCCACTTTGCTAGAAACCCCACTTCTTCAAAAGCAACTGGGCGCGCAGGGTCAAGAGTGAAAAGTGCTCAAAGAACCTGATGTAAAATTCCTCTTACGAAAATATCTTCTCATATAAATAATCTCAAATACCTAAGAAAACTTGCAAGCCAAATACGTTCACTACAGGAAAAGTTATAATAGCAAAATCATTCACTACGTAAACATCCCCAATTAGGGAAGAAGCTAACACAAGGCACTCTTGCCCTGTCAAATATGCAGCCACTTAAACTAGTACATTTAAAGAAACTGTAAAAATGGATTGGATATGAAAAAAGCACAGTACCAAACTGCACAGCCTGATCCCACTGTATAAAAACATGCGCAGAAGCAAGGGGAAGTCAGTGCACCAAATGGGAGGCGTGGTTGTCTCTGGGTGGCGGAATTAAAGAGATTCCTTTTATTATCGTTTTCTGTATCTCATGTATTTGCCGCGGTTAGTAGGTGCTGTTTTATGATAGACTACTGGCCACATACCTAAAAGATTAAAAGCTGCTCCAACAGTTAATTTTCTGGAAAATTTGAGGAGTATTCTACCACTTACTCAGTGTTAGCTTTCAGAGACTAAGATACCCCTCTATTTTGAAGATGACCTCAGAAAGCTACAGAACTAAAGAAGAAAGCATAACTGCTTCTTGGGGCTAAAGTCCTTATAGACATTACTTCCTATTCCAGACCTGCATCTGCCAGGGAGTGAAACCATTTCATGCTTATTCAATGAAAATTCGTAATACATTTGGCCAAGATTTTGTTTGTTTGTTTGTTTTGTTTTGTTTTGTTTTGTTTTTGAGACAAAGTCTTGCTCTGTCACCCAAGCTGGAGTGCAGTGGCATGATCACGGCTCACGGCAAGCTCCACCTCCTGGGTTCAAGCGATTCTCCTGCCTCAGCCTCCTGAGTGGCTGGGATTACAGGCATGTGCCACCATGCCTGGCTATTTTTTGTATTTTTAGTAGAGATGGGGTTTCACCATGTTAGCCAGGCTGATCTCGATTCGCCCCTTGCTTGGCCTCCCAAAGTGCTAGGATTACAAGCATGAGCCACTGCGCCTGCACTAGCCAAGACCTTTTAAAGAAAATATATGAAAATATAAAAAATACAAGAAAACATAAGTTTCCAATCCTGACATACTCTTCACCTCCAAAATGCTACCAAATATATGTGGTCTATCAAAAAAAACCAACTACCTAATGCATTAGCTGACAAATTTGAATATTCTGTGTGATTTCACCTATGTACAGACATTTCATTCAGAAGAACATTGTGAACATGCTAGTTTACAGGCTTTGACAGCTGCAGAGAACTTGTAAAGGAAAACCTTCATTTAACAGATAAAAAAAGTCCCAAGGCATAGGAAGGGAGGCGTCCCCTCAAGATAAGCAAGGCAATATTCACAGCCCATGCTATTTCCCAAGGGAATACTTAGAATGGCTCAAAGCGCTGAGACATGCCACACACCTGTCCCCGTCAGTGGGGTCAGAGTGCACACACCTGTCCCCGTCAGTGGGGTTAGCCACACACCTGTTCCCGTCAGTGGGGTCAGAGTGCACACACTGCCTGGCTTCTGCTGGTGAGGGACAGGCATCTTCCTTAGCTCAGCTCCGCTGGACAAAGTCTGAGCTGATGGCTCAGGCTTGCACCCGGGTGGACCTGGACTACAGTCCCAGTGCGGTCTTCTACCAGCCACTGCACCTGAGCAAGGCCCCCACATCCACCCCTTCCTCTGCATAGAAGAGTCAGAAGAGCAGAAAGTGTACAGAGGAGAGACAAAAAACATCGTGGCCCTGGGGATGTCTTCTTTCTCCCCTGGATGGAAAGGCTGTCTACAGGCTGTTGCCAAGCCACTGTCTACTCTCCATCCGTGATGATTAACATAAATGCGGATAGGCTGTGAAACCTCTGGACCCCATTTTTGCAGCACTAATGCTTGGCAACTTTCATCCTGACATTTAATTTCTTAATTATACGCCATCAACTTCAAGTTACAATCCTTTTGATTAACCAGAACAATTCTGGGGCACAGGTCAGAACAGGAACAGCAGCCTCCTAAGAACATTCATCCACCATGTCGGTTATCACTAGTTTCATGAAAAAAAAGGTTAGAGTTGGTATACGGATACTAAAGGCTAAAATGAAAGAGGGGTTACTGGAAATGATAATGCCAGAACCTCGGGGATGTCTTTCAGATCTTCGGGCACCTGTGGTTTACAGTGTCTGCACCTGCATTCAGATGGTCACAGTTCTAGGTCCTTGGCTCAGGCCAGGACCATTGTGAGTCCTTTTCAATGCCAAGTAGCATGGGCCTAGCTTTCAAGGCAACTTCGATTGCATAATGGAACTGCGGAGGGCAACTGAAATATTGGCACTGCCTTGTCTAACAAGCAGTGACTATCCTTCATGCACGTGAACTCCTGAATCTTGTTTTAACCTGAGTAGGAAGAATCACAGCTGACTTGGATCTCATCTTCAGCTCCATTTCTGAAAACATAATCTGCCTTTTTTTCTCTGACTCACTTCAGAGACCCCACGCGAGGAGCAGCCTTGCTCAGGAAGAAAGCGTGGGTCAGGGCAAGGACTCCATTTATTTACAACAAGGGAAGGGCTTGGGGCTGCAATGGTGGCAGGCGAGGGCTTGCTCAACGGATGTGCTGCTCCTGCAACATGTCTGAAAGGCACCAGTGTCCCTCACATCATAAAATAAAAGCACAGATGGTAACTTACCCAAAGTGACTGGATAAGTTCATGGAAATACAAAAGAGAAGGAGGTTTTTGATCATGATAAAACCAGAGAACATTCCATTGTCCATTCCCAATAAGAATAGTAGTTGAAGCAGGTGAATATGGGGGAATAACTCTTCCCTTCTCCAGCTTGATCTTGAAGCTGAAAAGCACACAAAGCGGGGAAGCACGTGAACATCAATGCTGTTGTGTCACAGTTCCTGGAATGAAATCACACTGCTATCACAACAATTTGCAAAGAAAGGAGCCTACTGTCCTTCCCCAGGACAGCTGCACACCAGGTATTTTCCACCACCCTCACTGGGCAGTAAGTTGGAACATAAAAATAAGTAACAAAAGGCTTATTTTTGCTTCTAGTCAGGGTGCAGAATCATCCTAATTTACTGTTTTCCACTCAAATAGTCTGTTTCGTCTTTCAGTATGTTATCAAATAAACCATTAGTCCAATTATTAAAATAAACGCTTTAGTTATCTGAGCGACTGTATTTTGTATCCGTCAAATCCACAAGTGCAATAATTTTACCTTTCTGAAATATCTGCCACGCGTTCAAAGCCAGCAAGCTACTCCTCTCTCTGCAAGGCACTGAGAAAGTATGTGGAAAGAAGTGGGGAAAAGCACATTTAAGAAACAGGTTTTCTGCAGGATCACAATACTGTAACAACTGCCTATAAAAGAGTGTGGCTACTTTCCCGGCATTCGGTCCCCGTGACTACATAACTTAACCACTGCATCTGTGGAAGTCTCTCCGCTCAGTGCTGGACCCTAATTAATGCATTTGAGATCCAGGCAGACATTGTCCCTGGGCTCAACGACCAACCTTCGCGAAAACGCGCATTTCTCAGTATGCGCATAACGCAAATAGGTGCTCATGGCATCCGAACAGAATGCTTCGAAAAGAAGCATTTTCCCAACAAGCCCCCCCACCCCCAACCCCCGCAAACTC